CGATTATAAAAAAAAACTGACTATATTTGAATAAAAATTAGTATTTATGCTTCAATAAGTGAAAACAATAACTGAAAAAATCTATTTTATGAATTTATTGTGATAAAATCCGAATACAATGCTCTATTAAAAAAAATTCTTTTTAATCTGATCAGCTCATTGGTCAGTTTGAATTGATTATGATAATGAGATGCGCATTTTTAATTAGCCGATTTAGACAGAATAAAAGTTATTACTGTATTTAAAATACATAAAAATAAACAGATTTTAAATTTAAATTTATGTATGTATTTTAAGTTAATAAATAATTCAATTATATTATTGAGGATTTAAAATAATTATGAAAAGAATATACAATTTTAATAATTTAATTAAATTGTAATAAATAATGGTATTAATTATCGGGGTCTTTCAGAGATCAAAAAAGGTACCATTTAACTTTTTGAGACCACCAAGAAAATAAAAAAATAGAGTTAAAATTATATTATATTAAATAAAATAATTAAATTTCACAAAAATATAGATTTTTTTATTAACATATATGAAATGAATAATTTATAAATTGTTTTGAAGCCTTTGTATAAAGCTAGTCGAGTGGCCTTCTGTGATAAGACCTGTTGAATTACCATAAAACAATGGAAATACAGGCATAGTAAATATGAAAAATTATATAATTTTATGTAAAAACGTTCATTAAAAACCAAAAATTAAGAAAAAAAATGCATTTTAATTCCTTATTAAATATAATTTATTTACTAATTTTTTAAAACAATTTGAATTTTAATTGTGTTTTACTTGTAATAAATTGCCTGGATGTTTTTAAAATAAATAAATAAACGTAAAATAAATATTTAATTAAGTAAATGCATGTATTCTTCTGTGTTAATGATAATAAATGACGTTAAATAAACAAGCAATTTAATTGACTAATTAAATAGCCAATCAGTTATCGCAGTTTAAAAATTTAAATTTCATATTGTGCTGTGTGACGTCGAAGAGCAGAATTTAAAGAAATTTAACGATCCCTTTGAGTATAGAAAGTTTTAATAAAATAATAACTATTTTTGGGATAAATTATCATCAATAATGTTCTCCATGAATTGTTTACTGCTTAAATTTAGCCATAATTTTAGATAATTAACAGAATTATATGATTTTCTTCCAGCGATAAGATTTATTATTATTAGTCTAGCCTGTTCGAAAAGTTTCGTTGAAGGATAGAATTATTTTCTGTTAATTATCTCTAAATCTATATTTATAAATTCAGTATATTCCTCAAATTTATCATTTTAATGAATATATAAACTGTTAGTTATATTTTTCAATTACAGATGGCAGCACGTGTAATATTTTTAAAATCTATAGTTTTTTTTAATTACGTCATTTTTAATATTTTAAGAAAATAAAAGTTTTAGAAAATAATAATATATTATAACTTTAAAATATGTATTATTTACTTTTTTATACTTGATATATTTCGATTCAAATTAGATCTATAATTGAAAGAAATATGTAAAATTAAAACAATAATAATTTAAAGTAAGTAACAATAAATATTTTTTTTCGATTTAATTCGTAATTAGATGAGTTAATTTTCATTAATAATAAAATAACTTTACGTTAAAATTTAAATAAAATCGAATTTGATGAATTAACCAATCATAAGAAAGATAAATTCAAAAAAATTCAAAAAGAGCCAATAAGGCAATCAACGTATTCAATTCCGCAATATCGAAATATCTAAAACACTATTGGTTATTAATTATAATAAATATTCAAATAATTTTATAGTTAAACTTATTTGAAATTATTCAAACGATTCACAAAAGATTAATAAATAAAATAAGTTAAAATTGTTAATTTTAGATTTTTAATTAATTAACCGAAGCGAGTATTATGTATAATCCTTAATTGTAGCTTTACATCTAATGGAATTAGTTTGCATTACTTGGATTTAGACCTAATAATTATCAGAGTAAACTGTACTGATTATAATTGTTTGCATTTATTAATAACGCTAAAGACATAATATAATATAGGTCTACAATCGCGCTCGAGAATTACTGAGAAAGGAATTAATGTTCCTTATAGAAAAAAAGATAAGAGAGTTTTTCTGAATTTTTTATATAAGTCTTTCTATACATTTATAGAGTAACCTATTTAAAAATATAATTGAAAAGACGTTACAAGTAGGCGTTAGAGTCTAGAAAAATGTCTATTTTAAATGATAAAATTTCCAAATTTAAGTATGTTTGTCCCGAAGGTCGACATTCTTTAGAATTTATTTAACTGGCCTCTGGAGGGCAGGTGGGCTGTACAGATAAAAAGTCTTTACTTTATTTTCTCTTCAACTTCATCCTCCTCCTGCATCTTCTGTGTTTATGAACAAGAATAATTGCCAAGTGGCTCGATGACAGTTTTTTTTTTCTTTTCGTTTTAAAGCACAACAGACAATTGTTTATTTCTAAATTTCCCATTAATTTATAAAGACGAGTTATTTATGGGTAAATACACGCAATAGCTTCCGAGACAGACTCAAATTTAGGGTTATGTTAGGGATTTTGAGATGTTTTGGGGATTTTATGGGAGCTGCTTTAAAGGTTTCGGGAGTTTAGTTAATAGTTTTGATGTTTTTTTGGGGGGTGTTTACGTTGTAGGATTTTGAGGGTTTTCTTGGGGAATATGCTGGTAATTTCGGAGATTTTTATGAGGATTATGGTAAATGTTTTAGTAGTTATGGTGGTGTTTTTTGAGGGGATTATGCTGTGGTTTTTGGTAAGTTGTGTGGTGTTTTAAGGTTCTTTTGGGATTATGCTATGGTTTTTGAAGGTTGTGTTAGTGTTTTAAAGGTTTTTGGGGAGTTATTTTGGGTTTTAAGGGTTTTTTTGGATTACGTTGTGGGTTTTTCGAAGGTTTAAGGATTTTTTGAAATATGTTGGTAATTTTTGCAATTTTTATGGGATTATGTTGAGAAATTTGAGAGTTAAGTTGAGAGTTTGGAAAATTTTGGGAGTTCACGTCGCGGATTTATCGAGTTTTGTATTGAGTTTTTGGCGTATTTTAGGGGTTTTGGGGATACGTTGCAAGATTTTGGGGGTTTTTTTTAGTCTGAATTATTGAGAAAGTTTAAATACCATGTATTATATCTTACATACAACTTACTAAAAATAATTTTCTAAAATAGAAATTGTACTTTTTCTTAAAATAAAAAAAATCGTAAATTAAAATCTTAAAATTAAAAAAAAAAACAATATTATTAAATCATTAAAGTTAAAAACCAAATATTAAATTAATTTTTATAGATTTTCCTCATTTTATCTTTATAAATTAGACATTAAAATTAAATATTTTATGCCGCCGAAATATATAAATTTAAAAAAAAATTAATTTATTATTTGAACTAGAAACTGGATTCATAAAAATCAAGTTAATTAATAATTAAATTGTATAAAAATGAAAGAAAATTTAAGATAATAATTAGCATTAATTTATTATTGAAATTTTAAAGAAATTAAAATTAAAATACATTTTAAATATCCTTTTATATAAAACGTCATAAACTAAAATAATCTTTTCCTCATCGATTGAAAATATTCAAAAATTATAATGAAAAATGCCAACTTAAGGAAATTATATTGAAAGGAGTTAAAGATTCTCTCTCTCTCTCTCATCCATTTGGAAAGATTTTCTCGAATTTTATCTTAATTTTTCTTTAAATATACGATTCTAATCATTGAAAAATAATAATTATAAGAGTATTTTATCGATGATTAATATTAAATAATCTGATAAATTATTTTAGTTTCTGTAGAAGAAATATAAGAAGTAATTTATTATTCAGTTGGAATTAATGTTTATTAATCAGTAGAATGTGACCTTCTTATATATAAAAAAAATTATATATATTATTTAGATATTGAATTATAATAAGTACTTATGTCTTCCAGAAAAAGATTTATGTCAGTCTGGAGATATAAAAAAAAGTTTATGTAAGGGAGGAAAAAAAATAGGAAAGTTAAGGCTTTACTGTATGCTTTCATGCTGACAATTTGCGAAAGAACAGTTTATAACAAGCCAAACTTTCGAAAAAGTAGTGAAGAGGAAGAAATATAGAGCCTATTTCTGAAGTTTTATATATATATATATAAACGTGAAAAATGTACCCCACACATCCCTGAATGTTTGTAAACTTTGTTTCTATTGGAAATTTTAATAAAAGTGTGGATATTTTTATTAAAAAGGAACGTTTTTTAAGCTTCTAAAATAGATTTCTCTTAGAAAGATTGCGCATTAAAGACGATAATAATTGAATCTAACGTTTTACAATTGAATTTGCTTGAATGGGGAGAGGATACTGATTTCGTTAATTGGAAGAGAATGGTGTACTGTACTGTACATATGTAACTCGTGTTATTGCTGTTGTATGTAACATCAGGTTAATGACAAATTTGTTAAATGTTATCTTTAGTTAAGTAACTTATCTTTCAATACTCCATTAATTAAATTTTGGGGTTGTAATATTGTTATTACATAAGTAGAAGTTTCTATTTACTGTATTATAAACGATTCGACTCGAGATAGAATATTTATTACGTTTTTAAACAAATTTACCACTAAAAATAATTTATTACATTATTATTTATTTCTGTACTTTATTTTACATTTTTTTTAATTATAATTTTTGCAGCCAGATTCTAAAAATTGCTGTGGAACATGCAAAGTTTTAATGTTTATATATCCATTACCATGGTGCCAGCTAAAATATTTTTAATTTAACAATAACAATTATAAAAAATAATATTCTCTAGAGCTTCTGGACCCTTTTAAATTTAAGTATATTTATCCATATTTTAATTACATTTAATTAATAATCAGACAGAAGGGACGATATACCGTACTGTACAGTACGTATCTACCCCCTTTTTTGTAGACAGAAATAAATTTAAACGATTTTAAAATGTCAACAATATTATTAAAAATCTTGAAATAATTGTACCTACCAAATAATAAGAACTCTTAGAGTTAAATTCGTAGATGAAAACATGGTTTCCTCACTGAATGAGTCCCTTAACCACTTCACCATGCGATGACGTCGAATTGACGTCACACAGCAATTCTCTTCGCTCCACCCTTACATAACCTAGATATCAGTCGATGTTTGTATATTTACACTTGTTTACGTTGACGAAATATGATTATTAACGAGATTATGCGCAATTAACATAGACACAGAATGCATAAATTGTTTTCCTTCTCGCATAACTTGCAATTAAAAATCGTATTACTTAATAAATATTTATGGAAAATATTCTTATAACTTTTACACCAATTTTTAAATATAAAATAAAAATAATAAAAATAAAAAATAAGTAAGTAAACGGGGTTTTACAGTTGCTATGGTTACCAATTGACGTCATTCTGGTGCTCGGGTCAGAGTGTACCAGCTCTTTTTTTTTTTATTTATTGTTTTATTTGGCAATGATCACAAGAGTGAAAGGAGTATTGTTTATGAATGCTCGATTCTGGGATTAAAGGAGATTTAATCATATTTTTTTTTCTATTCGTTATTTTAGATATTGCAAACTGAGCAGGAAACTAATATTAATTCTATATTAAAATTGCACCCACGGAGATTTGCAAGAGTAATAATCGAGTCGCAATTGCAGTCAATTTTAATCAATTCACTTAAATAAAATCAGAATATATTAGAAAATAATACCTTCCTGGCTTAATAAACTAAAGAGAAAATTTAGCATTTTAGCAATAAGAAAAATTTTTAATCATTTATTTATATTTTTGTACGAAATTCTCTATTACGAGCGTATAATTTTATAAAGTTAAAAATCGTCTCCGGACTTTATCGACTTTTATAGCTTTTGTATGGCGAAGAATGTGTTTTTCTAATGAATATTTTATGCAATATTTGTTTTGTTTTTCGGTCTTTTATTCGTTTTAGGATTCTTAAACGAGTTAGAGCTTCGGGACGGGCGTTAAAGCAAATGATTTCTATTTGGCATCCACTTTCTAAATTAATTTTAAACAGGTGCCCGTATTTAATGCTCGAGCGCTCTTCAATTATACGAGTAACCTTCGTGTTTGTGTGTGTGTGTGTCTGTGCGTGGGAGCTTAGAAAAAAAAAACGCGTACAAATTTATTCGATATTTTTACGTGTGTGTGTGATTAAAGTTATACATGTAGTTTGCACGTGCATAGAAGGGATGTTTCGGAGGATGTCGGAAAAAGCGCGAGAAAATGGAAGTGTTTGTAGAATAATGGCCAGTTTGTGAGAGATGCAACTCGCGATATGGACTGCAGATGGCGGAAGTGTCGACGAGGAGGGCGCCACATATATCGGTGCAGGAGGTGAAGCGAGAGTGTGCGACCGGTCTGCGTGTATGTGTTGTGTGTCCGAGGTGTTGTTTCGTGTTATCTTTCTTCGTCGAGATGTTCTAGAGTGTCGGATAGGCATGTGCAGCTATCGAGAGAAGTATAGTTGACGTCTAAACTGAAATTAGCCCCGAAGTGAACGAGCAGCGTCGACGCCATCATCATCACTAGAGCCTGAAATATGTGTTAGATGGATAAAGGAATGGATATCCCGTCTCTACCAAACGTTTCTATCAAGCTGTTGCAGTCCCGTCTTTCAGGTTAGACCACAAATGCCTGTTGCTAATTAAATCGTATGGATGCGATCGAGATGAGGTTACTGACCAATTTATGCACGCTAGCATCGACTGCTATGGCCACATCTGAAGCTAGCTGATTCTTCTTTCGAAGTGTCAGGTATGAAGAAACAAAACGTTCGTACTTTATCGCTTATAGTCTGTACATTTACGTATTTGTTAGTTGGAGCGGCCATATTCGATGCCTTGGAGTCCGAAAATGAAGATAAACAACGCGCAGCATTACAGAATATAGAAGAGATGTTGATGAGGAAATATAACATTAGTCACGACGATTATAAAATTTGGACAACAGTTATTATTAAAAATGTGCCACACAAAGCTGGGATTCAGTGGAAGTTTGCAGGAGCTTTTTACTTCGCTACAACCGTCCTCACAACGATTGGTGAGTCTTTTTCTCCCCTCTCATTAATTATTAGCAAACTGTGATAATATAATTATAAATATAGTTACCCCGTATGTGCTACTTTTGCGTTAAATTAATGTTTAGAGTAATAATTAACCACCCACGCGTGAAACATTCGCCAAAAATGCGGAATATTATCCTATTAAATCATATATTTTTACTGTTTTTGCTTAGAAAGAAAATGTTATTCAGTGTTGCATAGCTTAATTTTCAGGTTAAGAGATGAATTTTTAAATATGTATATATATATATATATATATATATAATTGATTGAACAACTCATTCTTTGTGTAGACATCTATGTAGACAGATATGAAAAATTCAAGAAAATTTATAAGAAAATCATATTAAATTATCCCAAACGTCATTGTTATTGTCTTTGTGATCATTTTTCGATTTTTAAAAAATATTTTAAACCATAATTTTCGTTTGAAAGGAGCATAACGAATTGAAGAAACGGAAGAGACAGTCCGTTCATTATTTGATGAGTAATTTTAGTGAAAGAATTTAATTTTAAGAAGCTTAGTAATATAAACCAATTGGATTTTTGTCAGGATAAAGTGTTTAATGACGAAAACACTAATTGTATTTCAAGACATTCACGACATTTCGTTACAAAAACAATTCGTTGTGGTTCGCTAAATGGCTTAAACAAACACGATTTAGTTAGTTTATGAAGTCGGCAGTTATTCCATAAATTACCTAGGATTGTTAATATAATATTTTATGCATTTTTCACTCTTTTTCTTCATAAAATTATATGTAAAATTTCCATACTTTTAGATCTGTGAGATATATTCTAAAAATAGGATGCAAAAGAAAAGACAAATAAAAAAAATGTTTTTTTGTAGATAAGAGATTGCTTTTATCAGTTATTTTGTTTTAAGTGTTCGGTGATAAAGACTATCGTCGTGATTTTTAAGCAATATGCTATTACGAAAGCCTAAATTAATGGCAAATATCTGCATATAAATCATAGAATTTCCTCGTTATTTTTTTTTTAAATTAAGTGTGATTAGTAGAGTTTAAACGTTTTATTGGATTCATACTTTTAGAAATTACAAACAATTTAAATAATTACAATTAAAACAATAGTAATATTTAATTCGACATAGTTTAAAAGTAAATTGTTGGATGTTCTCTAGAATATTACAGCTGAAATTTTTGACTTAAAATGTATAAATTTAATTTATTACATATTTTAAATATGTTTATTTAACATATGTAACGTTATAACACAAACGTAACCGATAATGTAGTTTGTATGAATGTTAATAATTTCACAAAATGCTAACTTATTCTCACCTCCTGTAACATTCCACTTGCTCCTGTAAATCATGTTTCACTGCATAAACTTGTGCTATGAGGGAAAGCTGACAATAGCAGACATATTCAAGATGTTTGGAATAATTACAAAATTTTGCAGTTTGGATTTGTAATTTTACAAACTTTTTATGCTTAATTATCATAATAAATTTAGCAAAATTATATATTTTTTTTATTAGGAAAAAAAAATGTTTAAAGAGAAAAATGATTAAAACTTTGCCCCTTCAATAACGAATTAATTTATTCGGTTCTAAATTCTCTCGATTGGGAAAACAATAAAAAAAATAAATAAATAAAAAACATTAAAATACTAGACCACGCCCTTTCCATTTCATTAGCTAGTTCAAAATTTAAATTGGCAAATAGCGAGTGTTAGTTTCATTTGCAAGTGCACGCCTCCAAATGACATTTTTCGACCAAATGATAGTCCTGTCAACATCTGCTTTATGAATGTGGAAATAAAACGTTTGAAATAAATAATCTGACGCCTTTTTTCCGTAGTATTTACAAAAAGAAAAGTAATTTTCGAAATATTTAAATTGTTGCTGCTTTTATTATTTTCTTTGGCATTTTAAAAACGATACGTGACTTCTCATTGATGACAACCGGAAATTTAATTGATAATGTACATAATGACAATATATATTTGATTATCGTGTATATATTTATATATATTTATAAATGGCAAAACATAATTTTACATAACGTTAAAGATAAATATATCTTTATTTTTATTTATACTATTGCTTGATAAATTATTTTATTTCGCCGATCCGATTTAATGATTAATTATAATTAAAATTCTTATTGTAATAAGCTATTTACAATTAAAATTGCTTTTATTTTTTCCTTCCATTTTTCCTGTTCTGTTTACGTAATTATAACTTTCTTTCTCTCTTTCTCTCTTTTTATTTAACAAAAAAGAACTAATTAATTTCAATTTAAATTGTCGGGTTATCGGATTTAATTCCATTTTTTAAAAAATATTTATGTTTTATAAGATAAAATGTTTTTAAAAATGAACTTTGACCTTTCGAAATAACTATATACAAAATGTGGAATTGGTTGGCAGAGATCATAATTACATTTACAGTATATGCCGTACGAGTTTTAACTTCTTTCTTACTGAAGATTTATCAGGAGAACAATTTAGAATAAAGAGAAGTTAATGTGGATGACATAAAAATAAATGTTTTATGACATGCCACAGTTAAATTGACCAGTAAAGTCTGTAGTTAAGTTGACCCACAACGATGCTAAATGTCCATTAAGTCGTGGAATGTTTGTATTTACTAATTAAAACAAGAATGACCAATTGTGTGAGAAGATTTTCATACTTTCTAAACTAATATTAAGACGGGTTCGGGGTTACGTTGTCTCATAAAAATCGATTCCATGTTATATAATACGTTCTTCTCAACTTTGACTTGTATCAACCACAATATCATTTGTAAATAAAATTGTGATATAGGTCATTGAATCGAATATATTATGCATTCAGGAGATATTTTATTTCTCAACAGATGGCAGTAAAATACTTTCAGATAGTTCATGAAACTGGAAAAAAATGAAGGTAAATGAGTATGTTCTGTAAATGTTTTATTAAGTAGCTTTACCATTTTGATCACGCCCCTTCTTCATTGATTTATCTATTCAAATTCAAATAAACCAATAGGAAATGTTGATTTTTTTTATAAAATAAAAACAAAAGTTAAACGTATTTACGCTGAATTTTCTCAAAACATTTAAATTAATATCATTCGTGATGTTTATTATACAAACGTTTCTATTACGAAATAACCCATTATTGACCTTAATTTTTTGTTATATTATAAATGGGAAAAATCGTTTAACCACGCCCAAATAATTTTATTTGTCTATTCAAATATAAATTAACCAATAATTTAGCAGTAGCTGTAATACAGCAATTCATTCTTTTTAAAATATATTCTTCTTATTTAAATAACTTTTACATGATTTTAATATCAAATATAGAATATTTTCTTTATATTTTTTGGTATAAATAAATGTCTAGTTTTTAAATTTAAGTCCATTTCGATTTTTTTTTTTTAAATTTCAGTTGGCTTGTAGCAAGCATTATCTGTACAGTACAATATAGATCACGATTTCAGAAAATGGCATGCTTACTGATTCCTTGCTTCCTTTTTTTTCCTGTGTTAGGAGAATCTATAGTAGCCTTTTCCTCCTTTTCTTCTCTTCACTTATTGCAACAAATATAAAGGTTATCATAACAAACTCGTTTTCTATCGTGTTCACCTCATTGAACACAAATATAACGAAAAACTTCCGATATTTACGGTAAATTTGTAGACTTTTATACAAGGAAACTAAGGCAATTTCACTATCCAAAATATCTTTAAATATAAACTGTTTGATGCAGCAGAAAGTATGAGATGTCAACAAGAAGGTTCATATAAATATAAGGAGGAAGGAGGAAAGGAAAATAATTTTTTTAACGTTTAAACTATAGAAAAGTATTTATTTTAATACTATTTTTAAATTTCCTATCTAAAATTTAAGATAATTTATCATGATGATTCATTTATATTGACGTGGACGTTTTATGTTAGAGAAAGATGTTTTAAGATATATAAACATATATTTTTAATAAGAGATTTTAAGTTATTTTTATAAATATTATATTACATTCAATAAAAATAAGTATACTCTCATCTAAAATATTTATAAAGGAAGATATACATCGATCTTATCTTATTTTATTTTATTTTTAAAGTATTTTATAGAAAATTTTTTTTTATTTAAAAATCGAAAACACGAGGGGGAAAAAAGCATTTCCAAACATACGAATTGTATACTCAATTGCTTTTTACCATTGTTACTGTTGAAAGAAAGAAGAGTAGCACAACCCTGATTGACACATCGATTTTTACTGTGACAAGTGCACACATAAACTAGCTTGTGCGCATGCTTATTGTTCTCTCGAAACAACCTGTTAAGGAACAATCCATCAGCAACATTAGGGATGTATACTTAAGCACTAGGAAAGGAATTCTTCTTCTTCTTTTCAAATATATTCGACTAATGGAATGATACGTGACTAAAGGATATAACGGAACGAAACGGATGAACAAACAGAACGTATTTAACAATTTAAAAATATTATAATTTTAATAATAAAATAGTCTATTTTAAAGGTGATTTATAGAATAAAAGATTTTTTCTTTAGGATTTGTAAAGATTAGAAGGAATATGTAATAGTTGTCTCCATGTTTTGGGAAGGTTTACATCTTCTCTGATATTTCCAATTATAAGTATAGTAATGGTTTATATTGTACCAGGCCTTACGCAATCGTGAACTGGAGAGACCCTATATATAATTTTATATAATGTAATGTTTCGATATGATACGAAACTCTTATCTATACAAAGTCTAATGGATTATAAGCTACAATATAATGTTTAGGATGAATGTACAGAATATATTAAACGAAAATAAAATAATTTACTTTAAAGATCAGAAAATTACAGTATAAAATTTAAGATTTTTTTCTTTAGAATTTGTCTATATTTTGAAACATTTTCGATTTTTACGAGTATTGTAGGTCATACTGGCGACGATTTAGGTGGTATGAGGCTCTAGACAAACATGGATTTGAGATGTCACTTTTATA